TTCTTATAATGCCTACTACTTTTCACCCCTCACCATGAGGAATGTTCTGCTGAAGTTCCTTCACAATGTTTTAACGTTCATGGCTGTTTTAGCTTGATCTTCAGATTCAACAGACACCATAAATTCAGACCCATAGATTAACTCCAAAGAGTCCGATGGCTTTTTATTTAAACACTATCACTCTGTCTTACAGTGTTCCTTCTATTAAAGAAAGATAGCTTTGTCCTAAAGGTAACCTTCTGACTTACACTCATTTTGATGGTTTCTAATTTGGTTTATCCTTTGGTGCAATTTTTTGTTTTATTTTGTTTTTTTAGGTGGGGGGAATGTGGTTTTGAAAGTAAAAACTGACTTCCTGCCACTAGTAAGTATGAACTTGAAAGGGCTGCCAGGTTTTAGAGAATGGTTTACTCAGCTATTTCCATTTTGTTTGCTGCCTGGGTCTGTGCCACCTCGCATTGTCTGCCTCATTAATCACAGGAATTTGTATCTTAGCCACTCAGCTGATTTCAGCTTTCAGCAATGCAGAAATTTCATGGAAAAAATGTATTATACAAAAACCTGTATATGGGTTCAAAAATTTTTGCACCAGTTAAACTTTTAATTCCATTTTCCATGAACTTTCTGAAGTACCCTGATACAGTTCCAAAAGTTCTTCCTAGATCTCTACCATTCTCATTCCTCTGTCCTTGTCAGCCCTCCTGTGTTTATTGCCTGTTATCACTTGCTGTTTGTATACTATAAGTCAGTATGACTTGCAGTATTGATCAGAATTACTGCTGAGTTTGTTTTCTGGTGAAATGTTCCAATAATGTTCTCAAATTCCAAACTGATTTTTCTTGGGAGATTATTTGGGGAGCTACTTATTAATTGCCAAGGCGTGGATTATCATAGACTATGGATAACATAAACCAAACTCAGTATCATTTCTTCCATTTTCAAATTTGCTCTGAATCTGTCCTCTTTATTTTTCAAAGCTGTTGATAATTTTCTTTTGATATTTATCTATCTTAGAATCTTATCCCAACCATTCCGGTCCCACTTTCAAATACCGCCTATGCTCTGGTCATCCATCCCTCAAGCTATAAAAGTCTTTTTTTCTCTTCAGTTCCTTTTGTTGCAGTTTATTTTCCTTAAGCTATTGATTCTTGTCACTGTGTCTCGCCTGGATATTTTTCCTCCAAGTAGGAATTAACCATCACAATCTTTCTCATGATAATTTGTAGGTCACCACCCTATTAGTGTTGAATTATTTATGTAGCTCCACAGCAAACAAAGTGAGCTTTTGAGATAGATGAAATTACAGATAATATTGTCTCATGTATTACTGTAAATTTCTTAGTGCTAACACTATTCTTTGCTTATAAGAAGATATCACAAATGAATTATGATGTTTGCACTGGATGATGCTGAACCTATCTGGGCACAGAAAGGAGAGAAGAAAAGTCCATTCCAGGCAACAGAAATTTTGGGGTATATAGAAGCATAGATAGTAAAATATATCCAGACTGTTAGGTTATGGGATGTGAAGTGTGGAAGGAAGTGATGATAGTTTATTACTCCCCAAATGCCCACAATAACTGGAGCTGGACCCTAAGGGTGGTCTCAGGAGCCAGGAATGCAACCTAGGTTTCTTACACAGGTGGTATGGACCCAGCTGCTTGAGCCAACTCTTGTTGCCTCTCAGGGTCTGCACTGGCAGCAAGCTGGAGCCAGGACTTGACCATTGGCACTGATACAGGACATGGGTATCTTAAACATTAGGCCAAATATCTGCCGTTGATTATGTAACTTTTAAAGATAGATAAACCCCACCACCACCACCAAATTCCCTCTGCTTGTTTTCTTACAGTCAAAGTTTTTCTGTTTTTGTTTTTTTCTCTGAGGGAAATTCATTAGTTCATTCTGATCACAAGTAATTAGGTAAAATATTGGTAAAGGTGTGAGATTCTGTAGAGTTGAAATGACAGTGACCTTTCACAAAATATTGACTGTAAGTACTTTTGTAAGTTTCAATAATATGGTTTTGTCTGTTTGTCATCATTCATTTACAACAAAGCAGTAATAAGCTTTTATATTTTTCTTACAATGAAATAATATTTGTGAAAATTATGAATGTTTCTTTTCTGTAGGAATTTCTTAGAAATATATTTTTTAAAATATCTGTGAGAAATGAATATAAAGACCTGTTTTTCCTAATTTTTATTTCAAGTTGCTATTATTAAACTAATACACAGAATTTTGGTAAATAATTCTTTATATCAAGATCTTACTATCTAAATTTACACAAATACCTATCTGAGTTATAGTCCTTTGGTCTTTTAGTTTTCCTATGTCACAATTCAAATAATAGAGTAGCCAACAAGTGATAAATGTCCCATTAATCTTTCTGATTCTCTAACTCCTGAGCTGGAGAATTGTTGAGTTACACCAGTTGGCTCTTAATTGAGGTTTTTACATCTGCCTCTTGTTTCATTTGTTAACTGTCTGCCCGAAGATCGGATAAGATGAAACACTAGTACCTTTTTATAGCTTGTTTTGTCTGTCTGTACAGTAAGAATGGGCTTGTTAGCAAAATAATCACAAAAGAATATTTATCCACTACCTACAATAAATATACATGCTAGTAACTAGAAGGCACTTGAAACTTTATTATTAAGAAAAATAACCAGTTTTGCTATTACTTTCCATTTAGAAACAATTAATATAAAACCATGTCGTTTGTTACTATAAGATGCTTCTAATGATTCCATTTGTACAGGGAGACAGAGACAAAGACACAGAGAAAGAAGCAGCCTGTTATTTTAATTTAAAAACACACCAAAAAATCTTTTAAAATATTTTTTAAATTAGCAAACATTTTGATTAAGAATTCTCTTCCAGGCCGGTGCTCAGCTCACTTAGCTAATCCTCCGCCTGCGGCACCAGCACCCCAAGTTCTAGTCCCAGCTGGGGCGCCGGATTCTGTCCCGGTTGCTCCTCTTCCAGTCCAGCCCTCTGCTGTGGCCCGGGAAGGCAGTGGAGGATGGCCCAAGTGCTTGGGCCCTGCACCTACATGGGAGACCAGGGGGAAGTACCTGGTTCCTGGCTTCGGATCGGCACAGTGCGGCAGCCATAGCGGCCATTTCGGGGGTGAACCAATGGAAGGAAGACCTTTCTCTTTGTCTCTCTCTCTCACTGTCTAACTGCCTGTCAAAAAAAAAAAAATTCTCTTCCAGAGATTGTTACTAATCCTTCGTTATAGCTCTATGTTGGCACTTTTAAAAACTGCCAATTATGACCTACTTTCTTCATACCTACAAGTGTGTGTGTGTGTGTGTGTGTGTGTGTATTGTATGGTGTTATACAGCAGTCACCCTTTTAATTGGAAAAGCATATTGAATAATTAATGTTTCAACCATTTATAGGAGGAATATTTTCTCACCCATAGGATGGGAATAGTGGTACTTTGTCACAGAGTATTATGAGAATTAAATGGGACACCATGTTCCTGAGGAACTTAACACAGTTTACAGCAGATAGTAAGCGATCAATGCATAGTAGGCATTTTTACATACATATTATTACATTCAGTTGGGTTTTTTTTTAATAGGAAAAATATTTTTTTAAAGCCTAAGATTTACAGAAGTTTCCAGAGAAGCCATACAAAAGGTCACAAGGGTTTTTGAAGGGGGGAATCTGCACTTGACAGCAAAGTCACAATGTAAGTAGTGAGGGCTGTGATGTGTGTTTAATTGAACCATTTTGGTTCAATCAAATGTAGCCACTTATAGAGTCTAAATAAAGTTAGACTTGGCTAGAGAACGTATTTTTAAAGAACTGGTTAGCATCTTTCAACCTATGCAATTAGATCACCATAAAGAGGGGGAAAGGAGCCCATAAAATTAAAACATACTCCCTCCTCCAAGAAATAAAATAAAATAAAAACAGCCGCACCCGTAGGGCTAACCCTGACAACTACCTTCATTCCAGTGCTTTATACTTAAACGAATAAACAGCAGAGGAGCCACTGCTTTTAAAGGTTTTTTTGCAACAATCCAGATGATATTTCTAGCCTCTACTCTTGCATTACAGACAATGAATTAAGACAAGATACAGGTTTGCTGATGTGCATTTATTCACCAAAGGACTGATGATGTCTGCGCTTTTGTTCTGTAGTGATTCTAGAACTGTGTCCATTAAATGCAAACAAAAAAGGAAGATGTCTTGGCAGCCAGGAGAAGTAGAGCGTACTTGATGATCACATTGATTTAGGTCTTTATGCATGGCTATAGCCTAGTCTGTGCTCTAGCTGTTTCAATGGCTTGGGTTTCCTTGATCTTTCATCGCTCCCCTATGTCATTTTGCTAACAAATCACCTAGAGTGGGAGCACTTTTCTTTAATTTTTGTAAACACGTACTTTCAGTCCACTCTGTAATCATAGGCTTATTCACCAATTCACCACTAACCATAATATTCATCAAGTAAACAGTAGTTAGTACACAGTTCCATATAAACAAAGGCTAAAAACAACAATCATATATTCAATTGATTTTCTTGCTACTATCTATTCCAAGATTGGAAGAACTTATAAGCTATGCAAAATTACTTATTTGTAAGTTAATTTACTTTTATCTTTTGGAAGAACATTTAGACAGATCTTCAATAATTATTATTCTTTGATCATGGAGACAATCACATAACAAACATCACTGGAACAAAACAACTCTATCTGGCTCTAGAGTTTCGATAACTGTCCTGCATCTTGTTAAAATATTTTAAGTGCCTTGACCAAATAAAGTAAGTGAAAAAATTAAATCAAACTATTAAGGCTTTTCACATCATCATGACTGCCTGAATATTTTAAAATTAATATTGTAAAATATAACTTGGTGTATGGTTTCATTCATTTTATTTTAGAGTTAGTTTTTTTAAAGAAAGTTTTGTAGATGATGGATTGATGTCATATGATGATTTCTGCCAGTGTATTTCAATTGGTTGTAACCTTTCTTTGTTGCAGGCCTCGTTTGTATGAAGTCTAGCACATCGGTGGTGGAGCTTGTTATGCTGCTTTGTTCTCAGGTACAAAATCTCATTCACTTGATTGCATCAAACTATTAAATGTTTTTATGACTAATAAGATGTAGGTACATATATTAATACATATTTATATATTGTCAAAATGCTCATCTTTAATCCTATAGATGGGGAAAATAATGTATCTGGAGATAAATTAACATGTGGATGATTTTCCCATGAAACTGTTCTCTTAGTCTTCCTCTTTTCTTCCACTGTCTTCTAGCTGTATTTCTCTCTCTCTCATCCTTCCTGTCTTCCATTGTTCCTTATTTGTCTTTACCTCTTCACATGGAATGCATAAAACAATGTGTGGGGAGTAGAATTAGAGGAGTTCATTTTAGGGCAAAAGAATTTTGAAATTCATGCATAATTTTTCATAGTATACATTTATCATGAAATTTTTGAATTCCACTCATTTACATATTTCAGAAAATTTTGCTACAAAATAAACTAAGCTTTTAAGTATATTTACCATGGACGTTTGGAGGTAATCTTGTATATGTATGAACGTATTTGTGTGTGTATTTGTTATAGGTTCTCTGAGCCTTCTTTATGTCTCATGTTTTTAAAATGTCATAGCATAACTTAAAATTTTTAGGTTTGTTATTATCTTATTTTTTCTATTCTATTAGATGAGAGGAGTAAGAACTTTTCAGGTGTCAAAAACAAATAAAACTCGTTGAGTGATCTTTAATTTGATACCTTGCTGTTTTCTCTTTTTTATGTGTGATCTATATGTCAGTAAATTTTAAAAAATGTACTTAATCTATTTATCTTTAATAATCAAAATTAAAGATAAATTTGTAATTGTTGTGTATTGTGTCTGCTCAACAATCCAAGAAAGTAAAAATAAACGCATATGTTATTGTTTTTCTAATAACTAAAATAAGAAGCTAATAGTAGTATAGCTTCTCACCATTTCTGTCCAGTCTCCTGCTGATCACAATTATCATGGAATATTACATATTTTGTAAATTAAGAATGAAAAGAGAGTTTCTATGTGTTTATAATAAGTAGTTAGTACATTTCTCCATTGTTTTCTCAAGAAAAACAAAATATACCTAACTCATTTCTAGTTACTCTCCTAAAATCTTCCTCAGAAAACTAACTCCCAAATAAATAACACTATATTTTCAGTTGATCCCTTAAAACATCACCAAAAATGAACAAAAACCTTACCTATTGACTTCCAGTTTTCAGGTGTGTTTTCTTCAAGGATATATTCTTGGGGAAATTATTTGGTCCATTTCCCCCTTGTTAACCAGGAGGAATATTGGAAAGGAAAAGTTTAAAGAAAACGATATCCCTGGCAGAAGTTTTATCTTCGTGGCCTTTGAAAATTTTGTCACATAATGTTAATGTCTTGAGTTCAAGAGATATGCAGAGAGACCTGTCTGGCCTTCTTAGCTTCGTGATGATGCATATTTTTAAAAATTGCTTTTATGGAAATAAAGAGTGTAAAAAGCTTTCTTCTCTAGCCCTGAGTTTCCCTACAGTTCAGAGAAATAAAGAGGAATGTAGCATTAGGATCTAGTGTCTTTGATGGCCTCATCATCTAATCATAGGTCTAACATTACTCATTTGCTGGCTCCAGGAATTCCTGCCATTAAGGGCCCTAGAGATGAAACTTTGCCTCAGATATTGATTGAAAGGAAGAGTGAGAAATTCAAGCTCTCTATGCAGTGCACTTTCTTTCAGTGTTTCAACAAAGAAATATAAACATGGCTCTCAGTTTGATTTTTTGAATTTTTTAAATAGCTCAAATTGTTAAACACTTTGAAATACTGAAGTATTTTAAGTGGGTAGTTGACTAAATGTACCTCATTTTAGGGACTTCAAAGTATTCGTGTTTAGAGCTCTGATTTTGTTATTTATGCTTTCTATAAGATTTTTTAAAGCAACAAATGAGGAACCCTCCTAAATTCCTATTCACAAACTAGAAGTTTACTATTGTGTGAAGTTAAGTTTACAAAACCATTATTGTAGACCATTAATTGTCCACTGATGTCTAAAACCTTGATTTTAAGGACACACACAAATGGATGTCTTCAAACTTCCCTAAAATAATCTGCCATTTTTCACATGATGATTTATATCCTATTTTTACCCATTAGCAGAGAGCAACCATAGAAGCAGCAGACCCCTGATAAGGAGAAACAAATACAGTTAATTGTGCTGTAGAGATTGCTTGGCATAACTCTCTCCAAAGCAGCATTCTCCTCTCAGGCCTTAATGCATTTCTTCTACAATGGAGATGATCCCTGTAGAATTAGCCTTGTTCTGTAGGCTGTCTTTGTGCCAAGGCAGAAGACAATCGAATGAATCTTTAAAGCTGCAGAGTTCTAACTTGCTTTTCTTTTATTCTACTGTCAGGCTTTGTCAGTATTGATAGCTCCTTGTTTGGATGAGCAGTATTATTACTAGTAAACATAGTTAAAAATCTAAATGAGTAACTATCTTGATGAACTATATTAATACATGTTTCCTCTCAGAATGAAATAAAACTAAATTATAATAGACATTGTGATTTAATTCTTCCTTAAAATAAGCTGCAGTACAGATGGTATTTTTTAGCTTATTTATTTGCATAAAATGTACTTCTCTTTTTCCAAATTTAGATTAACCCTTGAAACAAAAATTTTGTTGGCAAGAATAGGTATATAGGGATTAAAAAAGGAAAAGAAAATGCGACATCTTGTTCTTTGTTGTAACACATTAGATGCTTTCTTTGTATACTTTTCATTTTGGGAGTTTCATGTTAACTCCCACATATTATTAAGGATGTTAACTTTCCTTTTTATCTGAGCTCCTAAATAAACTTACTCTTGCAATATTTTGTGTCCAAAATATGGTCTAAATTTACATGAGATCCTATTACAAATGTCTGAAGGTACTTGTCAAGGATAATTCAGTTCATATGCGAAGGCTTTTAAACTCCAAGGGACATGCCATCCAGTCTACCCCCCAGTGGGTATTTACATCTCTGTAGAAAATGTTTTTTAAGTTTTAAAAAGAAGCACTTAGTATTATCTTTATGATGTATTTATTGTTCTACAAAAGCCCAAAACATAACTTTTTCCATGTAAACCATATGACACAAAAATAAATTTTAAGAATTAACTATGGATTCTTCACTTTTCATTTGTATTAAAGTTGTAGTTAGCAGTATCTTTTAAAAAGTTTGGTTTTCTGACATTTCCAAGTGCAATGACTACAGTAAAATCCTCAGTATGTGTATTGTATTTGACACAATACAAGTGCTTAATCCATTAAGCACTTCCTCCAAATCCTTCAGTGTATCCCAGGTTAGATCCTGCCCTCTACCATAGATTTTTTTTCAGGTTTTACAGTCAGTCATACTTGAGGTGCTTTATATTATTCTCTATATGTACTCCTTTTTCCATTACATTATTGTTAGTATATTGGGCTCTGATGAATAGCAGATTTAGTTTTCCAGTAAACATTTTTAGGTACTCTAATAGTTTCTAATTATTTCCAGATTTTTTAAGGAAGTCTCCATGAGAGGTACACCAACCAAAAAAAAAAAAAAAAAAAAAAAGAAAGAAAACTGAGTGATGTTATCCCATAGGATTTCTTTAAGTTTTCATAAGTAAAGCTTAGCAGATGTCATTGCATTTTTCTGTGCCTTATCTGTCCATAGAAATGTTTTATAAATTGCAAATCTTCATGTAAAAAATTAGGTCTCTTAGTACTTAAGTGCTTTCTAAGTTGAAGCACTGATTAAGCAAATGCATGCTTAATCAATCATTTTTATCCTCATAAAACTCCTCAATATGTATATATAACATAAAGTCTCTTAGTTTAGGATCTGTGTATGAAGTTACCAGCATGAATTATTTTGTGGTTTTGACTTTTTTCTCTTCTAAATACTTCATGTACTTAAAATAAAGAGGAGTTAGTGACTTCACTGATGTGATCAAGGCACAACTAAGGACTTCTAAAGACAACACTTACAAAAGAACCACAACTAAAAAACAACCTTCCTTTTTTATGACTTGGCCTTTGAACATTAAAATTTTATATTTTTTCTTCAATTTGATGTAGTTTAGTCAGATGGTACAAAAGAAAAATGTATACCTTTCTTCTTCTAAACATAATAAGTTAAACATTGAGGTACAGAGATACAGATAAGTATAGGAGCCTGTTAAAGAATATTCATTCCTAATTACTCAGTATTGCAGAAATTTTTTGTGTATATCTTAAGATTATAAGAAAACCAGGGATGTATTACATGGGTGTTTTCTTTTCAGTCTTTGGATATATATATATATATATATATTTTAAAGATTTATTTATTTATTCAAAAGTCAGAGTTATAGAGAGAGAGGAGAGACAGAGAGAGAGAGAGTGGTCTTCCATCCAATGGTTCACTCCCCAGATGGCTGCAACGGCCCGAGCTACGCTGATCTGAAGTTAGGAGCCAGGAGCTTCTTCCAGGTCTCCCACACAGGTTCAGGGGCCCAAGGACTTGGGCCATCTTGTACTGCTTTCCCAGGCCATGGCAGAGAGCTAGATTGGAAGAGGAGCAGCTTGGACTAGAACCAGCGCCCATGTGGGATGCTGGCACTTCAGGCCATGGCGTTAACTCGCTGCACTACAGCACCAGCCCCAGACTTTGAATATATTATAAACTGCTAATTGCAATGCTAAAATTATATCACCAATAATAGCAGCAATATTTTTATGTAATATTGCTAGATAAACAACTAAACACTTATTTTTGTAGATTGTCCAAGTTTTGCTTGTAATGAGACAAGACAGTAGATAATTGTATAGTTACGGAGAAATAAGAAAACAAGCTAGTAAATTGTCAGCATCGATGGCCCCTTATTGTACCTTGACCATGAAACAGAAGTATTCAGCATATACTACTAAAAGCTTATGAAAATGTAGGCTCAACAAAGGAATGTAAACAGCAACAATCAGATGTGAAACACAAGGGCAGGCTCACCCACTCAAACTTTAATTCGTTCCTTATGTAA